TAGTGTAAATATGTATTTTCAAGTTAAAAACATGATGAATGATTTTTTTTTTTTTGCACATTGTACTTATGGTTAGTGATACCTATAAACTCTATATTGATTCTAGGTGAGCAACAAGTCCTCTCTTCTTCTCTCTAATTGTACAAGCAGTCATTAGTTTTTGGGATTTGGCTTGTTTCTTGCAGTCGGTCAATTAGAGAAGGAAGGGAACACGAGAAAAGAAAGACCAAAGAAAATAGAAAGGGCCAATATTTGTAAGAGAACCTAATGAATGACAAAAAGACATTAATACCCCTATGGCATATATATTACATTTTACAACATTCCCCCTCTGGTGGGATAATATATTTTTGCGGTATGGGGAATCTTGTATTCTAGTATAAAAGGGGTATTTTGGCAATCTCATGTTTAATGGGCTGAGGGGGAAATATATCTCTTATTGTAAGGGCAGAGTTGTATTGCGTCTATTACATGTAATTCTTAATTAGAACAAAACATACTGAGGGGGTTGGGTTGAACCCATCAAACCCTACTCTTCCTCTCCTTCCTTTTCTCTTCTTTATCTTCTTTTCCTTGCACTCGAGCCCTAAATTACTAATTCAAGAACACCTAACAAATCTAATTTGGTATCAAAGCAGTGTTGGACTGAGTTGGAGACTCTTTCTCAAACCTATATGACCTACTAATGTCATTAGGCCATACGAAAGACATCAGTGGTCGTACAGAGACCTACTACTGAGTGAAGGGAATATCACCACTTGATAGAGTAGGATTTATGGAGTATTTTGGGGTATGTTTCATGTCTATCATATGAAGGTTGGTATTTTTCCAAATTTTTTACATGGAAAATTGTAGAAATTTAGTTTTGTGTTTAAGTCCCTCCAGGGCTCGATTGGGAAGTTTTTTAATGTTGAGATTGGATATGGTTGATGTGTGGCAAAATTTTCTTCAAACCATAAGTGGTTTGACATTATTTGGAGATTTTTGGAATTTCTAATGGTTTTTTCTCCTATTTTACTGCCCAGACCAATTTTTCCCTTTTTTGGACTGTACCATCAGTCTTGAACAGTGTTGAGAGGGTGCTATTGCCTTTTTTGGTATTTGGAAGGAGAAGACTATTTATGTTTGAGGTGTTTAAGATCTGATTGTTAGACAGTTGTATGCCCTTAGCTYCAATCAGAATGATGTACATTATRAATTTATTGTAAATGAATAAAGTRCATATTTGATTCATGTTCATGTGGTGTGTTTCTGTGTAATACCCTTAAACGGGACACTTATGAGACTCGTGTTAGTTTAGAATGTTCACAATCGTTGGATAAGTTTGGGGAGATTTATCCTGCCAAGGCTGACACTAGTGT